ACATGAAAATTATCATTTAAGTCTCAGTTTGCTAACATGGCACCCCAGCTCCATCCTGGGCCTAGGAGTCCACTTCACATTGTAGTGTCTTCACTACAGTCAGAGCCCCAAGACCCACAAGTTAAGGCCTATCAACCCTCTCCTCCTTCAGCTCCAGCTCTTGTTCACTACTGCGACTTTGAATAGACTCTTCACTTTCGGCACCTGAGGATTTCATCCTCTTAGTTTTAAGCTTTTTTTCTTATATTTTATCTAGAATTTCCCTTTGTTTTGAGGGAACGGTTTTGTAACAGCTTCATATCCATCTTTCCATCACCCTACTGCTTAGCTTCCCTCTCCCATCCACTGAACGCCCACTCTCCTCCCATTCATCCTCTGTTGCCTTCTTCCCCCTCCCTTCTTCTCCAGATTCTCCATTGCAAACACCCAGAAATGAGGTCAGGAGACTAGAACCTTCCTTAGAAGGGTCTTTGGTAGTGGGTACTTAGAGTAGAAAAAGCTGGAAGCATCCGTAGATATGTAACGTGAGGGTCATTATTCTGCTGCTTATAACTGATCCATTGAGTGACTCAACAGATTTTAAAAGATGTAAAACAGAGTCGTTCGTGTAAAGACAGACTTTTAGCTGCTTTCTTCCCATATTACAAAAGTCTTTCAGGGAGGATACACTACTTGGCACAAAGTTAAGAAAATATTTCATTTCAAGGTTTACTAGCAAGGTTTCAGGATGGTGGTTTTCTTTATAAGATAGGGAAGTAGTAGGATCTTAAGACAAAAGGCAAAGGTCCACCGGAAAACATGCTATATGAAGGATTTAAATTTTCCTTTTTCTTTGACTCCTGGTAACAGTCATATTTTGCATCCATTTTGAATCTTCTCCCTACATTCTAATTGCTTCCACTGAGCCAGTAGCCTTCAGTGTAGTCCTCTTACATAACCTTCCCCGCATCACTTCTCCTTTGAATTTCATATGACAGTGGGAGTACAACGGTTGGAGGTGAGATAATCCTGGAGTTTGAGGTGGTGTCCAGCCACAAAATAAGCAGGGGCACAAGGCAAACGTAAGAGAAGCACAAAGAAGTATCTGCAATATGAATCACTTAGGAGGGGACTTAAGGGTATTAATGATGATGGTAATAGAATCTGGCATTTATTGCATCATATCATTTACCAGGCATTAACCTAAGCGCTTTGCATAGACAATATCATTTCGATCTAACACCAGCTACTATGGCCATTTCCAGTTTACAAATCAGGGTATGGAGACAGAGTGTTAAAATCACTTTCTCAAGGTCTCTGAGGAAGTGACAGAGAATGGGGGCAAAAGGCAAGGAGAACCCTAGAGTTGCTCAGGAATCCCAAGCAGCAGGAGCTTGTGGACCGTGTATTTATTGTGCTGCAGATCTGCCACAACGCCTTCAGTCTCCAACTCTCTTATTCCCAATTTCAAATCCCAAAAGAATGCATCCAATAGGCCCAGCTTTGGTCTGTCCCTGGTAAATTACTGAGTGAGGATCAGAGAGCACAGTGATGTACTACAGATACGGACATCCCTGCATATGAGCCATGATGCCTAGAAATGTGGTAGTGGGGGTAAATGGGCAGCCACCCCAAGTAGCATCTCCTATACAACCTAACGATGTAAGAAACTATCATATGTGTGTACATGTGCAATTTTCTGCAGCTGATACATGGTTCAAGAATAAGAATTACATTCATTAAAATATATAGCATGTTTTATTATTTTTTGGTTTCTATAAAGTGTGTATGTATATTAAATGAACTGGTATCCATCTATTATTTCATTTTCCTTAATATAGAAATCTCCCTGAAGAAACTCAGTTTTCACTGAAATGATAAGACTTCAATTTCTGTTACTCTTATTTCTCACAGCATGCTATTTTTGCTACTCTGAATAACCACCTGCTGAAAACAATGAAAACTGCTAGGTTTAAAAAAAAAATCAACTACATTGATGAACTGGTAGGAAATGAAGGAATTCTCAGAGAGGAACAAAAGAAAGAAAGGAAGCAGAATGAGAGGATCCTAAGAAATAAGTGAGGGCCAAAGTGGGATGTTGCTAAGAGATTATCTGTCAAATTCTGGACACCTACAGCTCCTGCGTTGGTAGCTGTGCAGCATGCCAAGATCAGGAAAGAAAGCCAATAACCCATCCAAAAGGAGGATTCTAATAGGGGGCAAAATTTGAGGCCCCAAAAGGCCGTATTCCCAGTGTAAGGGTGAATGAGAAAGAAATTTGATGCACAAGTCAATAAAGAAACATGGCTGACTTGACCTTGGAATCTGGGAAAGGAAGAAAAAGTCTCTTCTGAGAATGTCCTCTGAAAATCAAATCCAAGCCACTTGGATCTGAGGCCAAAAGAAATCCATCTGTGCAGTCCAAACACTTTAAGTGGAAAATTTAATCTGGTCGTAGGGTTAATGGTGCCTCCATGCAACTTGCAGAAGCAAATTCTAATACTGTCTAGGAAAACTCAATTTTAACTCTGGCCTTAGAGAATCCTGACAGTTACAACCCCAGAAACTTAAGTGCAGAATCCAAAATCATAACAGCCAAGGAAACAGGCACCACGAGCAAAAGCTAGAAGAAACAACAAACAGCACAAAAGACCCATAAAACTTTCAGTTTTGGATGTAACAGACACAGAACATAGACCATTTAATGTTTACATTATGTTAATATTACGTTTAATTTGTATAAGAAATTAGAAAATGGCTCAAAAAGAACTAAATAGAATTTGTAAAAATAAAGTTATTTGAAAATATTGAGATGGACCATATAAAAGGCCAAAAAAAAAAAAAAAAGAAAGAAAAGAAAAGGAGGATAAAGTGAGAAAGTCTTAGAGATGTCCCATAGATGTTCTAAGAGATAATGGTTGAGAATTTTCTACAATTTTTTCAGGACACTAACCCTGAGATTCAGCAATCCTTTAAAATCCTAAGCATGGTTTAGACATTTTTTGAATGGTAAGAAGGAAGGAAAGAAAGAAATGACTACATACCTAGATTCACCACTGAGAAACTGCAAAAATATCCAAGAGATCTTAAAGGCAGCCAGAAGAAAGGAAGGGAGGGAGGGAGTGTAAGAGGGAGTAAGACTGAAAGCACTAGATTTTAGATGAAAGTACAGAAAGTAAACTAGGTAATTATTAGAATTGAGGTAAGTTTCCTTTGCCATTCATCAATATGACAGGTAAGTATCCTGATTAAAAGCAGTGGAAAAAATCTTGAGTGTAAGAAAATGTAACAGAGGGGGAAAGGAGGAAACTCAAATGCATAAAATGTTTCAACTCCAGAAAATGTAACAGAGGGGGAAAGGAGGAAACTCAAATGCATAAAATGTTTCAACTCCAGGGCGCCTGGGTGGCTCAGTTGGTTGAGCGACTGCCTTCGGCTCAGGTCATGATCCTGGAGGCCCGGGATCGAGTCCCACATTGGGCTCCCTGCTCGGCAGGGAGTCTGCTTCTCCCTCTGACCCTCCTCCCTCTCATGCTCTCTCTCATTCTCTCTCTCAAATAAATAAATAAAATCTTAAAAAAAAAAAATGCAATAGCTTAGGGCGCCTGGGTGGCTCAGTCGGTTGGGCGACTGCCTTAGGCTCAGGTCATGATCCCGGAGTCCCAGGATCGAGTCCCACATCGGGCTCCCTGCTTGGCAGGGAGTCTGCTTCTCCCTCTGCCCCTCCCCCCTCTCATGTGCTCTCTCTCATTCTCTCTCTCTCAAATAAATAAATAAAATCTGAGGGTTCTAGAGGGGAGGGGGTGTGGGGGGATGGGTTAGCCTGGTGATGGGTATTAAAGAGGGCACATACTGAATGGAGCACTGGGTGTTATACGCAAACAATGAATCATGGAACACTACATCAAAAACTAATGATGTAATGTATGGTGATTAACATAACATAATAAAATAAAATTTTAAAAAAATAAATAAAAATAAAAAGTTGTTAAAAAAAAAAAACAACAGAACATTAAATTATGAACCAAAGACAAATTTTCCCGAAAAACGAATAGAGCTAAGACAGGTGGAAAAGACAACGCAACCTTTACTGAGTGCAAATATTTTTAAGAAAAAGAAAACTGAGCAGTGAAGGGACTAAATATATCACTGGTGAGCACTTTCGGGGAGGAGTCAAAAGGTAGAAAAAGACACCACCGCGCAGGACTGTAGACGGCCAATACAGGCTATTAACTTAACGTAATCTAAAGTTATTGTTAGGATAGTTCATTAGATATTAAGTCTTCATCCGTTATTTCTGCTTTCTCGCTATTTCTTCTTCTTCTTCTTCTTTTTTCTGGGTGCAGGTTCTACGTATAGCTCAATTACATTACGATTAACGATGAGACAGACCGCAAAATAAAATATGTAAGAGGCTGTCGAGGGCTATTTCTATATCTTTTAATATGGGAAATTCATCTTCACCCCATATTCTTAGTGACACTATTTTAGTGACAAGGAAGCCAACCAGACGTCCCATTTATATTTTTAGCAGTGGATACTAAGGATAAATTCCATCAAAGAGTTCTGTTTTAAACAATCCAAGTCGCCCGAACTTTGCTGATTATTCTAGCGTCAGAACACTTTCTATTTGCTTAGCACTACCTGAAATCTATGACTCACAAACGCCAGGGCATGGAATCCTAGCAGTAAAGAACAGGTGAAAAGTTGTTCCTAGTTGTGTTCTGCAGGCGCATACAACTCCCGTCTTTCCCTGTGCAAAAATCAACAAATAAACAGAGCCACCGCATTTCAGATTCTCTTGCGCAACGTTCGCAAGGACGACTGGTTTTTGTAGTTTCTACGTGGGTAACTGTCAAGCATATTAATCGCTGTTGGGACGGAATGAAACTACACTTCCCATAAAGGCGCGGGGGCGGCCTCCCGTCGGCCTACGTCATTGCTTCAGCCAACCAATGACAGCTCCGGGCGGCAGTGAGGCAAGCGCCGTCAGGCGCCAAAGTGGTTTTTTTTTTCTTTCTTTTTTTTTTTTTTTCCGCCGAAGCTGAGCGGGTGCTGCTAGCGGAGGCGCCATATTGGAAGGGACAAAACTCCGGCGACAGCGAGTGACACAAATAAACCCCTGGACCCCCTCGTTCCCCCAGCTCTAAGGGCCGCGATGTTGTACCTAGAGGACTATCTGGAAAGTGAGTGGGCGGCGCTGGCGGGGGCCGTCTGTGGGACCTGCGGGCGGGCAAGAGCGCGAGTGGACGGGCAGGCGGGATGGCGGGAGGGAGGGGGAGGCGGGGGATGTTTCTTTCTCACGGTAACTGGCAGCCTCGCTGTGGGCTGCCGGCTCCTTCGACCCCCCCGACGCACGCACGCAGCGACGTAAGCGCGTACTTTCGCCGTTGGCCCCGCCCCTCTGACGGACTCTCCCTTTGACAGTGATTGAGCAGCTTCCAATGGACCTGCGGGACCGCTTCACGGAGATGCGCGAGATGGACCTGCAGGTGCAGAGTAAGTCGGCGCGTTTGCCCGTCTTGGCCGCGCGCGTTCAGTGCCAGACTTACTTGCCATCGACTTCATCGCCTCTGCTATTTGACTCTCCTCCGGCTCACTGGCTAGTGCATAAGGAGTTGTAAAAAAGAAAAGGCAGTGCCGAATCTTGCCTCTTGCTTTCCACGCTGCTTTTCTCCTTGCTTTTACAAGAGAAGGAGGCACTAGGGCACGTGTATGTGTTCCTTTCTCGAATTCAAGACTCTGCAATAAAAGTTTCTGTACCTTCAGTGAGAACGTAGATATATGTCTTAATGCGCATCGGTGTAAATGTTGAGAAGATTTTGACTTGAGCCCTTACGTATGGAACATAGATTTCAGCATTTATACTTTTGTTAAAGTTCGTTCTGTTGAAAAATTTTCAAGAGCGGAAAATACAGAAGCATAGATCATATGCGATTCTTTAGTGACCCTGGTGAACTTGGAATGTCACATTTTGAAAAGTTACACATTATAGGATACATTCTCACTTGTCAACAGGATGATATTTTTTCAATCAAAATGAGTGAGGGAAATAGATTTTACTGTAAAGCTCCTTATCTGTTGTAATAAAAATTTTGACTTTTTCTTCTATCAGTGATAGCTTGGTAGTCTGGTTACTTTTTCCCAAAATTAACCTTGTTCTTTCATAGAGTGCTATTTGGTTTATCTGATCATTTTTTCTGTGAAGTCTCTAAAAAGGGGTTTATGGTTCAAAGAAAGTAAAGAGTCAGTGCCTTTGGAGATAAGAAGGTATATACTTAGAGCAAAATTACACTTAAAATGAGTACAAATATATGTCCACCATGCTCTGAAAGAACTTCATAAACCTTCCCCTTTAAGAAATGAATGTAATATATCTGTTCCAGTTATCTTGTAGAGCTACTATATTAAAAATTAAGAGTGTGAAATGAATTATACGGTACATAATTAAAATGTACAATTAGGTGTACCCTTATGGCTGGATGTTACTCTCTTTGTTTAGATGTAGGTACTCCTTAATTAAATTGTCTAAATGATAGTAATGACTGGCCTTCATGAGGTCTATCCCCAGATAATATGTTTCTTGGTCCCATTTATTCCAGCTATGTTTAGGCTATATACATAAAATGTTTCTCAAGGCGCCAGGTTTTTTTCTTAGAAAAGTAGAGGTGGAGGAAGATCTGGGTTTTGGGGTACGATTGGGAGGAAAGGGGTATCATGGAAAGACATCAGAGAACCAGCATTCCTTGAGGTAGTTAAGGACCTGTCCTTTCTCCCTCTTGCTTCTCTACCCCCCTACCCCTCCACGCACTTCCATGTCCATTGTTCATGAATATACATTTCTCAGCCTCTTGCCAGTTTCATGTGGCCATGCTTAATACAAGTTGATATGATATGGAAGCCTTCTTTTATTCAGTGGATTGTAGTGTAGAAGTCTGAATTGTGTATTTCTTTAGCTTGCTCACAAAATTCATTTTAACTTTAATGTAGTCAGAATGCTAAAGTAGGGGCGCCTGGGTGGCTCAGTCATTAAGCGTCTGCCTTCAGCTCAGGTCATGATCCCAGGGTCCTGGGATCGAGCCCCGCATCAGGCTTCCTGCTCCGCGGGAAGCTGCTTCTCCCTCTCCCACTCCCCCTGCTTGCGTTCCCTCTCTCGCTGTGTCTTTCTCTGTCAAATAAATAAATAAAATCTTTAAAAAAAATGCTAAAGTAGTGTTTTCTACAGGTTTTGATGTCAGATAGATCTGAGTTTGTATTAGAGTTTTACTGACTTATTTTTTGACCTTGACCATGGTTTTCATTGTCTATAAAATGAAAATCATCTGAGGATTTAAAATAACACAGTTAAATTAGAATTTATAGTATCTGATACAAAGTAGAAATTCAATAAAGGGTAACTGTTATTTTATTCTCCTTCATTATCATTACAAATTTTAAATTCTCTTGTGATTTGTACTTAGATTATATAAATGAGAGGTTTTATAAACTTACATTTTATAATAATTAGAATTTTGTAAAGTTAATAGGTACTATGGATTAATAAAAGAGACTTCTTTGTAAAATAAGTTAGAAATTGCTTATTTAAACAAAGGAAAATTTTTTAAAAATTAACTGTAAGACTTCTTAGAATCTTTAAAAACCTATTATATTATTGCTGTGAAAAATCTCCGAAAGGTTTTCCCTCACTTACATAGCAACAGAATCACTTTTTTTTTTTTTTAACTTTTCCTTTTTTAGCAGACATGGAATGAGATGACTATTCTTGGCACACACTTAGGGAAAAACTTACCTAGAATAAATAATATAGTGTATAAGTGAACAAATGATGTACCTTCTACTGTCAGTCATGATACGAGATGATGGGGTGCTAAATGCCATATAGTGAGAGGTTAAAATCTTTTTTTACTTATTAAAAGAAACGTGAGGATTATCTAGTAGTACTCTTTTTTTTTTACTTTTTTTTTTAATTCTTATGTTAATCCCCATACATTACATCATTAGTTTTAGATGAAGTGTTCCATGATTCATTGTTTGTGCATAACACCCAGTGCTCCATGCAGAATGTGCCCTCCTCAATACCCACCACCAGGCTAACCCATCCTCCCACCCCCCTCCCCTCTAGAACCCTCAGTTTGTTTTTCAGAGTCCATCGTCTCTCATGGTTCGTCTCCCCCTCCGATTTCCCCTGCTTCATTCTTCCCCTCCCGCTACCTTCTTCTTTTTTTTGTTTCTTAACATATATTGCATTATTTGTTTCAGAGGTACAGATCTGAGATTCAACAGTCTTGCACAATTCACAGCGCTTACCAGAGCACATACCCTCCCCAGTGTCTATCACCCAGTCACCCCATCCCTCCCACCCCATCCCCCACTCCAGCAACCCTCAGTTTGTTTCCTGCAATTAAGAATTCCTCATATCAGTGAGATCATATGATACATGTCTTTCTCTGTTTGACTTATTTCATCTAGTAGTACTCTTAATAAGAAATTGTGCTTTGGTACATTTGGCTGATTTAATACCATTAGCTTTTGACCCAAAGGCTGTACTATTGAAATACTATGGTATAGAACCTATATATGTTGTTGACTACTTTGACTACTGGAAAAATTTTGACATAACAACAAACATAAATTGTCAGAGAAAATTGTAACTTTTTTTTTTAACTAGAGTAATTAAAGCATTTACATAATCAAAGCATGACATATTTAAGTTATTGGCCAAGTGAAAGAGTGTATGTTGTCAGATATTTTCTTTCCCCAAATCAAAGCATGTATATTTAGTGTATGAATTTGGTCATCTAAATATGAAATGTTTTTATTATGTCATAGATGCAATGGATCAACTAGAACAAAGAGTCAGTGAATTCTTTATGAATGCAAAGAAAAATAAACCGGAGTGGAGAGAAGAACAAATGGCATCCATCAAAAAAGTATGTTCAACACTCTGGATGATCTATCAGTAAATATTGGGGTCCTCTGAGAAAGATATTTTAAAATGAAATTGTTTTCTGGATATCAAAATGAGGGAAAGTTATCAGTGGCTCTTTAGGATTTAAATAATTTGTTGTGTTTTAGAGCTTCAGATGTAGGAATTTTTAATCATTTTGGTAATTTAAAATTTGTTTCAAAAATTATCAACTTTTATTAGAGAATTACAGAATCATAAAAAAAGTCCATTTTTTTCTTTTATTTTATTCTGGTTACAGCTAATTAAGGTTGCCTTGTCTTCACAGATATTACATTGTCTTCCAATTTTGGCCACAAACTGGGGTGAGAATTAGCTGACCTTGAAGCATATTTTACATATTGCTAGGTACCTAAGTTGGTAGAATCACAGAAGAACACAATCTTAAGTGTTGAAAGGATCACAAAAAGTCTTTTAGTTTAAAACTATAAATCTGTATATGAATGGAGCCTAGAAATACAGAATTCCTTGAATTTTGATTAGTCTTATAGTACTTACAGGTCTCTTCCAGATTAGAATGAGTATCAGATCTCTTCCCAAGGTTTGCTTTAAATGTATAACCTAGTGTATTTGGGATACATTGGAAGAACTACATAAAAGACCTGGGTTTGGTTGTGACTGCCATTTTTCTGTGTGACATTGGACAGGTTCTTTAATATCTCTGAGTAATAATGGCTCCCTCATCCCCAGCCTTCATAGAATTGTTCAAAAATCAACTGAGAAAGAAATTTGAAACTCAGATTTAGAGAATTTTTTCTTTATTTTGCCACATGGGGGGAAGCACATAATTGGTCCTGGCTTGGAAGAGGCCTGGTGTATATGAGTACAGATAGCATCTCTGTGCAGGTGACCCTTGAACAACACAGGTTTGTACTCTATGGGTCCACTTACATGTGGATTTTTTTGATAAATACAGTATAGTACTATAAATGTATTTTCTCAAAAACGTTTTTTTCTCTAGCTTACTTAATTGTAAGAATAAGGACATAATACACAAAATACACATTAATCTGCTGTTTATGTTATCAGTGAAGGATTCCAGTCAACAGTTGGCTGTTAGTAGTTCAGCTTTTAGTCAGAAGCTTATATATGGATTTTCAGCCACATGGGGGACACACTGTTCAAGGGTCACCTCTGCAACCCAAAGTCAGTCTTCATTCCTTTAACCTATTAAGTTTTTGGTGTAGTACAGCTTGTCTATCTTAACAGTCTAGTTCTCCATGTAAATTGATAGAATCATGTTTTTGTTCTTAAATGATTTGCTTTATACTGAGGAGAAATCTAAAGTATAGATTGAATTGTATGAATTAATCCCTAACTTAAAATGAGAGTTCCAGAACAATTGGAAAATAAGGACATGCAGGCCAGAATCTTTTCAGTAGTTATACTTTGGTTAAAAAGTTTTAAAAATGGGGAGAGCAAATGTTCTTTATAAATTAAATAAATTGTAACATTTTCTTTGAAAGAAAAAGAACTATTCATTAGTTCACATAACTTTTACTAGTTTAGAGGCTAGACTTGGACTGGTATTTAATTTTGCTTATATCTTTTTTAGGAATGCTGAACATCTTCCTTTAATTCTTGGCCATTGTACATAATTTCTAATCCTACCCCATCCCCATCCTATCCTTAACTGGGTTTTTATTGCTAATGTAGGATGACTGACATTGAGTATAAGGTATGATAATAAAAATGCAGTTATATGTGCTGAATACACATTTTTAAATTATTAATTTATTCTTGAAATGAAAATGTTTTTATTCAGGATTACTATAAAGCTTTGGAAGATGCAGATGAGAAGGTACAATTGGCAAATCAGATATATGACTTGGTAAGTAAAATTAATGTGCATACTATGCCATAAGTACTTAAATTATGGATTATGTTTTAAGTTTTGTTGGCTTAAATGTTAATAGGAAGAATAGACTAAATTTGAAGTATTGCTTTCTTGATCCCATTTCATTTGAGGTTTCAGTGTCTATTTTTTGGTTTCTTTGTGGAGAAGAGTCAGAGTCCACAGTTTTAGTCAACAGTTAAAAACCTTACGTTTTAGCCAAATTTACATTGTTAGATTTTAGCTGATGTTAGACTTTTTTTTTTTAACAAGAATTGGTGTTTAAATTTATTTTACTAATCCTTATCTTAAGGTAGTATATTTACTTACCTGATAAATCATCTTGAGATTGTTTCTGTGGTAAAATACACATAAGATTACTGTTTTGACAAGACTTCTTGGTTGCCTAATTAAATGAAGAAGAGCATCATTTGAGTCCATATTAAGAGATAGTACTCAACTATCTATAAAGTGATGTCAAATAGATAGCACTCACCAACTGGCTCAGGTGGCAAAAATGGGAAACACTTGATTAAACTTTAAAAAAATGTTCTTTTTTGCTGTAGTAGTACTTGAAAAAGATTGAAATCACTGTAAGACAGAGGCAGTATTTCTCAGAGTGGTATAATTATGATGCTCTCTTTTATGTAAAGGATCTTCTAAACTATATACTTTAGGAAATACTCATTTCTAGTTCTGCCTCAAAGCAAGTTAAAGCTAAAAACAAATGGACACTTATGGCCAACTTTAGCATATAGATTTCATATCTATTTTTGTAATCTTATCTGGATACAGTCTCATTACTGAACAAGTATATATAAATATAAATGTTATTGGTAAGACACAAGATAAAAGATACATACCACATATGGTGTACATTGTAAATGCTTATAGAAAACTAGAAAACATTTGTCATGTGATGCCATAGGAAATGTTTCCTTGTTCTCATATAGTGGAAATTTTTAATGGCTATAATAACCTAGGCTCTTTTGTTCATGCAGTGATTTTGAAACAATTTGATAAAAGATAAAATGCCTTTAGAAAGGCAGAGTAAACTATAGCTTGATTTACTATGGAATTGGAAAGAAAAGTTCTTAATTGTTTTGGTCTTGAATTATGTCTATAAACACAGAAAAAGACATTTATATTTGAATCCAAGAGAAATTTGTTTAGTAACATTGCTCCTCATATTTAATGAGTATATATGTCAGTCTTTATTTAGAGACTACCTGCTTTTTAAATCTTATAGCTGTTTGGCTATGCTCTTTGTTCATATTTTGTTATTTTAGTACTTTTTATACATTTAAAAAATTTCAATGTATATCATACATTTAGAAAAATATGTATAATATAAGTATGTTCTTTCTAAATATGTGTGGATTTTTGGTATGTATCTGTCCATTATTTATGAACCACACTGTTTATTCACTCTTGTGCTTTGTATAATGGAGTTTTATTTGCATATAACGGAGGAACAAAATGAAAATACTGTAAATGGCTTCTGTTCTCAAGGTGTTGGTAAATTAGTTGGGAAGACACGCCCACAAACTAAAGTGAAGAGCCTGTATAGAAACATGTAATAAAGATTAATGCAGTTAAATATTAAGTATCTGGTAAAAAACTGAACTAACTCATGTTGAGTATTGTTAATTTCTTAGAGGATATGAGATGAGTTTTGAACAGAATTTATTCAGAAGCTCTGGGGCCTGGATTAGGTGTTGTATTGAGGGGAAAGCAGTTCACTCGGAGATATGGATAAACACAGAATGAAAATAAAACTTAGTAAATTCTTTGAGGGGGATAGATTTTTTTAGGCTAGGGAGTGAGGTAGTAGAAGGTGATGTAATGAATTGAACGAAATGTAATAAAAAGCAAGTGTCCATAATGGATCCATACAGACATGAGTTCAGCCATTTCACTGCCAGCAGGACTTTGGATAAGTTACTTAATCCCAAAACCTTAGTTTTCTTATCTATTAAATAGCAATATTAATGTGTGACTTACAGGAGGATGTGTACACATGTCTATAAAATGATCTTAGCTTGTGAGAGCACCACACGGTGGATGCGCACTTCTTCCTTAAAGGTTCTCTCCATCTTCTCTAAGTGGAATTTTTCATTTTCTTAGAGCACTGCTTCACTTTCAGCTCTTCCAAGTGGCACCCAGTTTCTTCCCCATTCCCCCATTAATTTCCAGGATGGCCTTTTGTCTTTCCTCTACTCTTCCTCCTTCCTCCCTCCCTCTCCCATTCCTTCCTCTGTCCTCCCTCTCCCTTTTTTTTTTTGTGACTTTTCTTTTCCTCTCCCTCCTTCTGTTCCTTCCTCTTTTAGCACTCCATATTAAATTGCTATTTCAGGTGATCATGACATCCTTAATATAAAAATCCATTCTTTTTTGAGACTTAATCGTCTATATTGTCCTCCCATCTTTGTGACCCTCTGCTTTCTCTGTGGATATCACTCATAATGAGGTTACTGTTCCTCAGGGCACTGTCTTTGACCTGCATTGTTTTTTACTGTATTCAGGTGATCTCACTCAGTGGTAACTCCCTTCCCTTCTTCTACCCAACTCCAGAGGCCAGGAAGACCAAATGCCACATGGTGAAGAACTGTTCTGTCAAATGCCAGTTTTCCCCCCTGCCCCACACACAACCCAAGCTGTGAAACATTCCTCCATTAATTATCCGGGTGTTCTCTTAGTTTTAGGAATTATACATTAATGATTCCTCAAGCTCAGGCTTCTCTTCTGAGCCTATTCATCTTAACTGAGAATTCTCAGGCCCCGGAACTCAGTGTATTAATATTAAGATTTAACTCTTAGTCTCCTCCTTTCCTTCTCTCACAGGAACCACTGATCTTCCAGTGATTCACATTGGGATATTGAAAGTCATCCTCGTCTCCTCCTTGTCCCTAGCCTCCCCACATTTAGTTAATCAACACATCTTGTTCATTTTATCTTCTAAATATCTCTCATTACCCCTTCCTCTTCACTTCTGCAGCGTGCCACAGTTCAAGAACTTTTTTAAAAAACCTGACTGACATGCTTTTCCCTCAGTCTTTGCTTGGGAAACTTTCTTCATTTTTCATAATCCTGCATGTGCAGTCTCTTTACTAAAATCACCTTAATAATCTTGATATTCATGTCATTTATATCTAGGAGAAGAGATTTGATCACTTAGAAAAGTCACACAAGAATGATTTACAATGGGTGATCCTAATGTGGACTCCGATATTATGAAAAAAAAAAAGAATGATTTAAACAAAGGATTTATTTTCCTCTCATATAAAGTATCTGTTGCAGGAGGTAGATCAGGGCTCGTATGACAACCCTGACATCATCAGTGTCCCGGGCTGCTTCTAATCTGCTCCTCCTCTTTTTTGAACAGGTAGAAGAAGAATTGCAGTAAGGGATTACTCAAATGGCATATTTTGCAGTTCCTTTAAAGAGTCTTTCTGGAAATCTTACCTACTGACTTCTGCTTAGGCTTGGCTCCCTGCAGCTGCTTCTTGAAATGTTGCTTAACAGGGCACATTGGCACCCCAGGGGTGTGGGGGTCTGTCAGTAACGAAGGAGGCTATTGAGTAGGTACTTAGCACTTAGTGCCTTACCCTACCCCTCAACAGAATCATACCAGCTTCCAAATTGTTGTTATCTCCATGATTTTATTATTATTTGAATTAAATGGTAATTATTTATTTACCTTTTGCTTATATGTTTGTCTCCCCTACTATAAATGTCAAGAACTATGTTTTTTTTTTTTTTTTTAGATTTTAGTGTCTTCAGACTCTATGGTAGTTATTTCTCAGTAAATATTTGTTCAACAAAATCGCCTGAATAGGTTAGTAGAAAAGAAAAGGCATTACATGATTCCCAAGTTATGAGTCTTAGGGATAGTTTAGTGGTGTCCTTCTTTATGTGAGATATTGTAGTTGAGTGACATTTTCTCAAAAGATTAAATAGAGTCACATTTTAGTATGCTAAGATTGACTTGGTTTTGATGGACAAACAAGGGTAGGCTACAGTGCAAATAGCCCCTTCTCTTCAAGGTATGACTTTAAACCAAGAGAAGTGAAAGTAATGTAATTCAAATTAGTTTAGTTTCCTTTAGAATCACTTTAGGAGACCAAACAATCCTATAATCTATGTCTTTGCTCAGATCTTTTCAGTATCCCTCTCTTTAAATTGTTCTCCATTTTTTTAGTTTCTTCAGTTTAGATAGATTTCTTTCTTTGATACATAAGCTCATTTTGGAAGTTCTAAAACAGGCTGTATAGATGTGCCTTCAGCAAAAGGGGCATTTTTTAAAATATTAAGACTTACTGTGAGGCACATGTTTTATTTAAATACCTTTTTTATTTAAATACTTTGCACTTTATAATTACAAAATATTTTTTGGCTATTTTCAGTTCCTTTGCTTTTAAAGAGATTCCTTTTAAATTATGAAACATTTAGTAAACACTATTAGACCTTACTATACAAAGTAATAACCGTATTATTTTCATAAAATAAAAAATATTAGATTTCCTAACCAGGGCCCTTGAGGGTATGTGAGATTCTTAATCATTCTGTACACTTAGAGCCTGGCCCAGTAGATAGTTGAGCAGTGAACAGAAGGACAAAAAAGACTTTCGAGGTGATCCAGTCCAGTGTTTCCCAGACCTTAATACTTGCATCCCACCTTCAAGGTTTTTAGATTATCCATATCATCTGTACATCTATTTACTAAGTAAACTTTTAAATGAAATTTATTTAAGAGGAAAATTTATTTATTAATCTGATGCTATTAACATAAATGAAAAACTGGTATTACTTATCACAAATAAGTAATTATAAAATGTTAAAAAACAACGTACAGCCTCCATGGAATGCTTGTGCTTTGTGCGCTGCACCACATTGCAGGGTGGCTTGTGGTATTTGAACACTTTATGCTGAAGGGTAAGAAATTTACTTTCGCAAGTAATTGCAGTTGAGCATAAGGGAATTAATTGCCTTGTTCATAGGGAGGTTACTAAATGGATTTACCATCTCATATTAGTTATATTCCCCAAAATATCAACAGTAAATATCCAAGTGAAAGTCTTTATAAATAGGAAAGAGGAATTAAATTCCTATAACATTTAACTTTTGAGAGCTTAGAAAGCTAAGTGCTTCAAAAGTGAGTGGGTGCGAAGTAGTGTAAATGTATAACTACAGTAATTTTTAATCATAGATAATTTATCCAATAGACAGTGGTACTTCTATTTATATACTTCTACATAGTGGGAGAGTGTAACTTTTCATTCATTCAGCAAATATTCTAGAGCTCCAGCAATAGCAGTCTCTGCTGCTAAGTGGGCAGTAATGACACAGAGAAGCAATGAATATAAGCAACTATTAAGTAAAGATTTGTTTAGATTTTGATAAGTGCTATGAAGAAAAGAAATGTTGCGGAGAGAGGGATAAAGAAGGAATTACTAGGGGAGGCTGTTAAGAATGTAGTCAGCAGGAGTGGTGTAGTCTCAGGAGGTGACATTTGAGGAGGTACTTGGAAAATGAGAAAGAGCCCGCCATGGGAAGAGAGCATCAGGAAGAACATTTCAGGAAGATGATGGACCAAGTGCAACGTCTGAGGTGGAAGAGTGCTTGGAGGGTTGAAGCAGAGAAGAGGCCAGTGTGGTTGGTGTATAGTAAGGAAGGAGAAAGGTGGTGCTGAGAAGGAGCCAGGCAGGAACCACCACATGCAGGGTCTTCTAAGCCAATGGAAACAGTGTGTTTTTTCTTCTGAAAGGAGTAGGAGGCCACCTTAAACAGAGGAGTGAGGTATACCTTAGAGGAAATTGTCTGTATGCCTTTGCTTAAACATTGTGTTGTTACGGTAATTTCAAGTAAGCATGTATTATTTTTACAGATTTTTTTTTTTTGAAGATTTTATTTATTTATTTGAGAGAGAGACTGAGAGAGAGAGAGCATGAGGGGGGGAGGGTCGAGAGGGTCAGAGGGAGAAGCAGACTCCCTGCCGAGCAGGGAGCCCGATGCGGGACTCGATCCAGGGACTCCAGGATCATGACCTGAGCCGAAGGCAGTCGCTTAACCAACTGAGCCACCCAGGCGCCCTATTTTTACAGATTTTAATGTACAGTAATTTAGTATATAATTATGTTTGATTTTGCCCCTCAGTGTTTTACATAGTGTGGTATTTCATTGTATTATTTTTATTGAAATACTTTACTTTTAAAATCAGTCGTACACTTTTTATACCTATGACTAGTATGGTACAGATTACTTCATTTATTAAGGAAAGAAACCAGACTGCATAAATATCCACAAATGAAGAGATTGTGGTGGAATTACGGGTTCAGTAGAACAAACTGAAAATTTATTTCAGTAGTTGTTTTAGTGGAAATGAGCAACAAAAAAAAGGCTATCCTGTTAAAATAATTTCCTTCTAGAATCCTGATACTCATAGTCATTAAACACTTATTTGTGTTTCTCAGCCAGATGTCACTGTCATCAGGCTGTATTAGATTACAATACCTAATAAAGTTGATTTATGTATACTCTGATAAAATTTGAGCTTTTAGTTAATGCTTGAATGATTTTAGCAGTCTCTTACACTGCTTAGTACCCTTGAACTTGCTTCTTTTTTATATCCTGGCCTATACCTGAGATGATTATATTTCAGGTATACATTTTACCTATAAATTTGAGAATTCTTCATCTGATACTCTGATTAAAGAAATATATTATGTAAGTTTGACCTTTTGACTTGTCTCCTATCCTTATTGTCTTTTAGGAAGATTAGATGTAGTTTATATGCTAAGGGCTCAAATGTTTGATTCAGCCTAAAGGTGGATCAAATTTTCACCTATTATAATTCAGAGATGTGAAGAATCATTTTCATGATTTATCAGAGAAATAATTTGCCATCATGGTTGCTTTTTCTTCTCCAGTTTACCCTCTTTATTCACTATTACCAGATCTTTTCACAGTTAGAAATTTATCTCTCATTGCCATTGATTTCACCTTAGAACTTTATAAAATAACTTGTGCTCATTCTGAAAGGGCAAGCTAGACATTTAAATTTTAGAATTTGATGGTATTGGAAGCCATCAATCATGTAGAAACTTTCTGAAAAGCTGTATTTAGTTCAGTTTGGGTCCACCAGTGTGACACATGTTAAAATTTGAAAATTGGAGACCAGAAGTCAAAAGGGAAAGAATAAAGGATTACAACTCTATGCTAAAATGTTAAAATATGAGGATTTTTTTGTTTCATGCGGAGGACGCATGAAGTGTGACTTACTTATCTTTGTGATCATCAAGATGTTAACAAATAATGTTGACAGAATTTCCTTTGGCTCTGAAGAGGTCAGAAAAAAAGAGAATTGATTTAGAATTAAAGCAGTTATATTTGGGGTTATGAGATATGATTTGGGTCTGTAGAATAAGGAAGCTTTTGTGGTTGGTATTTATTGACATTAAGTGGGGAACAAATCAATAATTAGACTCTGTGGTCAGCCTTGTGCTAGGAATCTGTGGTTAATGGAAAATCTCTCTCAATTGGAGTAGTACCCTCTCTACGACGATAAATCAGTCTTACAAGGTGTGTGTGGAGGAGTAGGGCAATGTAGGTTTTTGCTCTGCCTGATACCTGCGGGGCCATTATGGCAATCTGCCAGAATAGGTGCTTCCCCCATTCAGAATCCTGGGGGCGGAGGAGATGCGCTCTGCGGGTTTCAGGCAAGTCCAGCTGAGCTCTTGCTATGGCTGTTTAATACTGTTGAAGTACTCTGCTGCTTCATAGTTTGAGTTAAAACATGTGGTCAGCTTTCTAACTTCTGATTTGAGTCAGTACAGTAGCAGTGACTCTAAGAAAAACAATTCTCATTGCCTAATAATTGCTTCTAATATTCATCAGTTCGTCATCTTTTTTTTGCCTATCCAGAGGTAAGAATGACTAGAAGCTGTCTTACAAAGCTGCCTACCACAATGTGGTTTAGGCTTTTTTTGTTTATTTTAATTATGTATTTGTTTTTAGAATTATTAAATCTTTGGATTCCATTCCTTTTTCTGAGCTGCTAGTATTGGAAATTCCATTATTATTTTCCATGCTCTCATGTGTAATAACCCTTATCGGTACTGCCTTTAATATACTGAAGCAGTTCTTCAGTGCAGGGGTGGAAGGAGTTAGGGGAGGGTACTGATGTCTTCATCTCACTCTGACTCCATCCTCCTGACCAAGATTCTAACACTCTGCCTGTCTATACTGTATATAACTGTTACAGGCCACACCATACTTTGCTTTTTCTTTTTTCTCTGGGAATCTTGTTTGTTTTCCTGTCTCTATTCATTCTTTAATTGTTATTTTTTCTTTCAATATATTTGAAAACAATACATTCTTCACCCTCTACCTCATTTACCTCCTTTGTGTCTGCCACAGCCCATGGTTATATATGTATTTTTTTATGTACTACTTCTAACTCTTTTCCAACTGTTGCTTATTTGCTATGTCTAGGGTATATATATTTAAAAACATTTATTATGTTAAAAAGCTCACATAAATCTTAATTTGTCAGCCAAATTGTAATCCTATGAAAGCAGGGATCCTCCCTCATTTTTCATGTATTTTCCATTTAACCCAATGCCAAGCACAACTCTCAATATTGCAGGTAATAAAGGTGGTGGAATGTTTTCATTGCATTAAGGGGTCTTGGAATTTAAATATGAGTATTTTTTCTGACTTCCCTTGAGATTAAATTTTGACAACGTAAGAGATATTCTTGAATAACTGAGGTCTGTGTTCACACTTTATTATTGGAAGGGAGGTTCCATTAAAGGATGCTCAATTACCTGCATGTTCTTTGAATAGGAGCATTTGTCCATAATACGTGCCTCTATAGGATTTTAAATATTGTAATACGCACTCTGCCAAGCTCTGAAAAATAAGTTGTGTGTGAAGATGGACAGAAAATTGGGTTTTAAATTATTGAAAAATCACTAACCAGTACCCCACTGGGTGCTGTTAATATACAAAATATAAATAACAAGAAAACATTCTTACTTTTCAATTTGAATTATATTATTCTGAGCTAAAAAACAGGTGGCTGCTGCATGAAGTTAGAGGGCAATGTTAGGTATAAATGGTGAAGAACAATTTCTTACAACTAGATCAGATTTAAATCCCTTTTCCATAATGCATTAGCTATTGCCTTTGGGCATATTACTTAACCCTTCTGAGCCTTAGTTTCTTCACTTATGAAATGGAGACAGTAATAACCTATATCAAAAGATTAGAGCAAGGGCTAGAAAAGATAGAAGAGCATCTAATGCACCAAGCACATTATATGGCATCTAACACACACAAATTGCCATTTGCTACTTTTTTCTTTAGGTACTACTTCTCTCCTTCAATTTAGGTACACATTATTTCATTCTTACTTAATTTTTTTTTGCTTTCATGATGTATCATAGACACTTTGATATTTGTAAGAAAGTCCCTCTTAATTATTTAACAATGATCCACTGGGAATCTAGAGTTTGAAAAAAGATGTCAATAATATAGCAATATTTTTCAAAAAAATTGTTTTCTTTGTTTCACTTCGAAGTGGTAAATTTGAAAAAGTATTGAAAAAATATTTACTATAAACCTTAAAAAATTAAGACTTGTTGCTAGTTTGAGGTATTATATAATTTTCTGAAATCAGTCAAGAGATCTCTAGTTGAATGAGAAAATAAAATTTACCACCTTCAGCAGGGCGGTAGTATTAGCAATAAAACCATTTAAACCAAGCTCTTTGGGGAATGGAGTTTTCCAGCTAAAAACCGCTTTTGTTTCAACCCTCTACATAAATGTTTACAAGTATAATGGTTTACTTTTCTGCCTTAGAGAAATTTATGTATAGAATATAGTAGCCTCTTTGTTTATAGACTAAGGATCTTTCATTCTTCATTCTAAGTAACAGTTACAGTATGGCAGTGTGGTGGATAGCCTTATTATAAGTAGGAGGAGATTAGGTTGAAAGTAATCCCAGGGTATACTATAAAAAGTTACCAACCCTCCTGCACTTCCCCCCCCCCCCCCCGCAGTTCCCAAGTATCAGTTTTGTTTAGTTTCACATCTCACTTCTTCTGAATGTTTTCTAACAAATTGTGATTCTGGTTTCTTAAAACTTCAAATTTATTAAGGGAGACTTGAGAGATTATTTCATCTAGCACCCTCATTTCATAGATTAAAATACTGAGGTGTAGGTTAATTGACTTGCTCAAGGATACTAAGCAGAGGCACTAAAAGAAATAAAGATTTAGTTTTCCTCATTAAACTGACACTTTAATAGTGTCCCAAATTTTGGTGGTTATCTTTGATCTTCTTTGAAACAGGTAGATCGACACTTGAGAAAGCTGGATCAGGAACTGGCTAAGTTTAAAATGGAGCTGGAAGCTGATAATGCTGGAATTACAGAAATATTAGAGAGGCGTAAGTAAAATTTACAGTTTTCCATCAATGTTGGACAGTCCATGTGCAAATCACGGAGGAGACGCTTGTCCCACGGAGACTTCTCAGATCCTGCGCTTCTGTGGATGGTGGCAACTGGGTCGGACAGCGTGGACTCTAGCAGCTAGAACTGTCTGGGTTATGGATACGGAGAGAGATGATACGGGATATCGTACACTCACTCTTTATTAAAATCACATGTTAAGTCATTCCATTTTTTCATATGTGTATATGTTAGTAAGATGAGTGGTGAGAACGAAGACTGAAAGAAATATAACCATCTAGAAACAAGTTAACCATCTGTCACTAAATGTATTGACTTTGCACTGCCTGCTGGATGCACTTAAACTCTGAGCAAGGCTGTTATTTTTTCTTCCTAAGAACTGCCTTAAGGCTTTTCCTCAACTGTGTTAGTAAGAAAGCTTTTAGTTGATTCCAAAGCATTTCCTCTTTTTCTCAAAGAAGTAAACTTTTTCTTATCAGTAAGAAGCCATTTTAATATTTCTTTGTAAGGTTCTACTTGATCTCCTGCTATAATTTACCTTTATTCTTTTTTTTTTTCCTTGATGCATTTCTTCAGCAAGAACATGTACTTGTTTCTACATACTGATGAAAAATTTCTTTATGGCGTTAGATTATGTGTATATTTACACACTCCCTAGGATAGGGGAACAACCTAGTCATGAATCCATCTTGGTATCCACAGTTGCATTTTTGTATTCAAAAGTAGATCTATCACTTCAGATGATAATCTAATTTATTTGTGATACTTTTATTCCAAGGAAACCCTATCTGAGATTAGTAAGTATTTTGAAACAAAATGTTCTATAGCTACTCTAATTTTTTTTTGAAATGCTAATAATAACTGTGAATAACATAATTCATGCCTATTCAGTACTGCAGGAAGGTTAATGAAGCATCCTCTGTAAGGACACAGACACACAAAACTAAATGAAATCAAGTTATAAAATCTGCTCCACCCTATGCCCTGCCATAATTTCATCTCAAGGGATCAAGATAAACCCAGAAAACTTCTTTAAAAGTATTTTAATGCTTGGCGGTAGAGATTCTGTGCCTAACTTCTTTTAGGAAGTCTTTACTATCATATATTATTTTAATGATCAAAGAATTTTCTTTCATAAAGTGATGTCCCATCCACCTGATACTTTAGGATCTCACATAGAAAGATCTTCAACCCAGTATAACTAGTTTGAGTTTTTCAGATCTTATCGGTAATGGACTTATAATATCCATTCATCCACTTATGTGGTACCCGCTGTCCTGAATTCCCCAAATAGACATTGACATGCCTTGAGCTGTTTTGTACTTAAGGTGAACAGTAAGGAGTGGATTACATATTATTTAGAGAGAGGATGAAATTGGCTCAGGGTGAAATTGGCAGTGGTGATTCTCTAACGTGTTTGACTAGAATGATACAGGCGTATGCATTAGGGCTTGCCAGTCCTCTGCTAGGTGAGGGTACAGAGTGCCTGTACTTGATTGACCTGTAAAGTTCTGCGTTGACATTGAATGGAGATGTATCTCTGTGCATTTCTTTTTTAGGGTCTTTGGAATTAGATACTCCTTCACAGCCAGTGAACAATCATCATGCTCATTCACATACTCCAGTGGAAAGTAAGTTTGGTTTAGGGCAGCTAAAATTTTCAGTACAATTAAAAATTCATTATATTACCTGTATATTCTTTTTAATTAGCTCCATACAACCAACTGAGGAAAAAAAAATATCCTTCCCTTCCTTTTATTTTGTGAGATCTACTTTTTCCTTACAGTTCCTGGTAAATTTACCTTCATCATTTGGGAAAAGTGTATTTGATTTGGGAGTAGAGTGTTTGCTTTTCCTGGAATACATTGAGGACAAATGTATGGTATTAATAGCAGCATATACTTCCTACATACAGACACCTGATTCTCTCTAGAGAGTGTTATAACTCAAGCCAAATGATAAACTACATGATGGTGGGCTCTTTGTTTTTTATCTCCTTGCTTTTCCTGTGCTTAGCCTACTGTTTGGCATGTAAGAAGGCCTCAGATGGTTGGTAGGTTGGTGAGTAAATGAATGCTTGGTTGGGTGTTAGCCAGCTAGAAGACTGTATCAGTGTAATTTGTGACAGATCACTTTGATATGAAAGAAGGGTTGATTGAAAACTATTCAAAATTGTAGATAATGTTTTGAAAACAAAATTCTTCTCATGTTATATGTGAAATCATGGTGCATCATGGGTTATCTGTAGTACTTTGCTACTGAAGTTTTTTTTTTAATGTGTGGGAAGGCTCCTCTTTTTTTTTTTTTTTTAAAGATTTTATTTATTTATTTGAGAGAGAGAAAGAGAGAGAGCACATGAGAGGGGGGAGGGTCAGAGGGAGAAGCAGACCCCCTGCTGAGCAAGGAGCCCGATATGGGACTCGATCCCAGGACTCCAGGATCATGACCTGAGCCGAAGGCAGTCACTTAACCAACTGAGCCACCCAGGCGCCCGGGAAGGCTCCTCTTAACAAAACAGGTGACACGGAGAGTTCTGCTTGTCCTGTCCTCCAGGAAAACATACTGTTCTGTATTCCATGAAGAACTCAGAACATAACTGTACTTGTTTATAACTGAATGGAAGTATTATATCTTGTCCATAGTCCTCTAAAGTTTAAAAACACAAAAATTCTTTATTTATATTCAGAAAGGAAATATAATCCGACTTCTCACCATACAACAACAGATCATATTCCTGAAAAGAAGTTTAAATCTGAAGCTCTTCTATCTACGCTTACATC